GAGGAGGAGGAGTGGAAGAAGTTTTTCTTCCTGCCAAAGGATACTCAACCTAGTTCCCCTTCAAAGCAACTCCAGAGTAATAAAGGCTTAACTCCCTTAGTGAAAACAATACCTGACACAAGTTTGGATCTGGAATTGTTGAGTCACAGGTTACTCCATTCCCTGATCCAGCCTTGCTGAACTAAAGCTAGTCCACCCTAGAACAGAGGTGGGCAGAAACATTGGGATCTATTTGTCAGTCAATGGAGTACATGCAGTTATCAGCAAATATTTCTAGGATCCCAATTATTTAGCATCCACAAATTGGCTCCTATTTCTTCTTTCCAATCAGGCCACTGAAAGCCCTGATTTGTAGCAACTCAGATCTGTTGGCAAATCTTGGTCACCCCAGCTGCAATGTTGTGGTTCATCCCACCTCTCTTCTCTCCACATCTTGTATCTGCTCAAGTTGGTGAGCCACAAGTTCTATTAAAAAGCCATCCCTGTCAGGCTAAAGCCTGTCCTAGGTGGAAAATCCATCACACTTTCCCATCGTGCTGATCCACAACATACCAATTCTCCGTCCACGGGTCCAGCAGGTAGAGCCGAAAGGGAACTGATGGGCAGCATATGGGGCACAAATGGCCCGGATGCTGTCGCTGAACACCACAGGACGCGCCAGCTTGGCTATTGCAATGTCGTAACCTTCCAGCTTGTCAACGTAGGCATTGTGTAGGTCAATGCTTTCAAGAGTTCTGTTCTCTTGCCATGTTTGATTCCCTCCTAACAGCTGCTCTCCCAGAAATACCTCCCAGCCCTCAGTTTCCTGACGCCTGGAAAACATGATGCAGAAGGAAAAAGAATGATGCCAAAGAAAAACGAAAAGGAAGTCTGTATAGTTAGGCTTGGCTTGAATAATGCATTTGGACTGCAGCTTTGAGGGTTTGATTTAATAGTCTTAATAGCCTTAAGAGGGAGGTTTTCCAGATGTCCTGATTTTTGCAAGCCAGGCCAAGAATTCTGTGAGTTGGGATTCCACCAGAGTCACCCCCAGAACCATGACTTAAATTTGGTGCCAGATTCATTTGTGTTTAAGATGCCCTGAAATGAATGGGTCAGGTTAGCCTGATCTGGAGAACATCCAAAAGACAGCATTAGTTGTCCAGAGGTTCTTGGATGTAATCCAAGGTCAGTGACATGACTGTGGAGGTTGACCAACGTGGGGTCTTGCCTATTCAGAGGCTGCCTCATCCCCCCATCTTCCACTCACCCAATGAAGCACTGAGCAGCAGACAGAATCCGGTCTTCCGCAATCAAAGTGCCTCCGCAGACATGCTGTCCTCGATGCCGTAGGCTCACGTACCAAGGCCAGAGTCCGTTCTCTTGTTTCAGGACCCCGCAGCCTGGAGATCAATCACGAATATACGGAGGGAGCCTCCTCATATTATGTCCCCAAAGACAACAGGTACATATATATTACAGCACATACCACCACCTGTTCCACACTGCAGGGGTGTGCAGATCATGAGCTGCATGCACAGCCCCCAAAACACCCCCTAACTAGGCAGCATGGTGACAGTAAAGATTTTCACAGTGCATTGAAGGGGTCAATAAAATAGAAGCAAAAGAGGCCCATCGGGTCACTGTGAGAGCGAACACGTTTTTCTAGCTCCCTGAAGCCCCCAAATATCCAAAATGTTCGGACTCCACACCCAAGGAATTAGTGCACCTCCTCCCTGAATGTGGCCTTTGGATGCCTAAATGAAGTCGTAAATCATGTAATCCCCACCACAAAAAAGTCACCCGCTCCTGATGAGAGCAAATGCCCATCAAGCTTTAAAATACAATATGCCAGACAAGAAATGAATGTTGAGATGGGGATCCTGGGGCTCTCTAAATGTGATTGTATTCCAATTCCCATCATCCCAGGCAGCATGGTCAGTGGTGATGGGGATTGCAGTTCAATGTAGGGAGGGCCATAGATCCCTCTTCCCTCTGGTGCACTAAATGGCTCTTAAATAATGATTAGAGCATAGATTAATGTGCAGCTAAGCATCACTGATTCTGTTTTCGGCTGACTGCTGTTACTTACTACAAAAATAAGCTTGCAACTGTTTTGCTTGAGCACCAGCAGTGCAAACAGATTTGGAAGCTTATTTGACATCCATGCCTAGCTCAAATTAAGATCCTTCCTGTTCTAAAAATGAAGAGGTTGAACTGAAAGCTTGATCCAAAGGCAAGGAGGGAGCAGTACGGAAGGTAACAAAAATCCTGAAGTAAAGCTTTGGACAGGTGGGTTGTAAATGAAAGCACAGGCAGTCCTCATTTAGTGACTGCAATTGGGATTGATAACTCAGTTGTTAAGTGAAGCAGTCACTAAGTGAAACCACCACTGTGCTTATGATCTTACTTCTGCTTTCCTTTGCTTTACAGACCTGCAAAGGTCGTAAATGGGAGGACTGGTTACTTTTTCATCACCATCATAACTGCGCATGGTCACTAAATGAGGCCATCACTAAACAAGAACTACCCATATTCACAGCCATGAGAAGTGAAGAAGCTTACCTGTGCACATGTAACTGTCAGTGGTGTTGGGTATGGGCTCAATCTGATTGGCAAAGGAGGCCCCTTCAACATGATGCTGGATCCAGTTGGCGTAGGCTCTTACATCAGTCAAGAGGGTGGGTCCATAGAATTGCGTACAACCCATGGAGAAACTCATGATCCCAGCCTGGAACCATCGACCATTCTCCAGGCAAACCAGCGGGCCACCCGAGTCCCCCTGGGGTGGAAAGAGAGAGTCTCTGCATTCTCTGCACACACGGCGGTGTCTGTCACCGTCTCTTCTTTGGCTAGCGGATTTTGTCATTGCATGATCCACCAGTGGGAGCTAATGGCAAGGAGACACCTCACGCTGCTAAATTATAAACCTTCCCCAGCCTCTGATAGGCAACCATGTTAAGCTAAGGAATGGAGCAGATGCAGGAAAGAAACTAGAGACGGGAGCTGAGAAAAAGACTGAGAATTGTGAATTCATCGATGGTAAAGCAGATTAGCGAGACTGGGAAATCTGTTATAGGGCAAAGTCGCTGCTGCCTAGTAGAAAAATCTGCTTCCTTCCACTTAGGGCCCTTGGGTAGATTTGTAAATAAACCTAATATTGCAAAAGTTGAGATCCATCTCTCCTGTCCTGTATTCCCAAAGAATTTCCGATTTGGAGACGTGGGAGCCCAAAGTGATAGCAGAAGAGGGGAACGCATGGACACATTTTACGTCAAGAAAATAGTGTCTTGGAAGCCACATCAACCAAAATCAGGGGCTGCAGTTTTCTACATGCGTACTTATAAGCCAGCCTTATTTTATTGGTTAGACCTAATTATCCTGAGTTATATATAAGGCTGTGCTGTTGTATTCCTTTTCTCGACCACTTTGTATTCCATCTGTGCCAGCCAGAAAAAGATGGAGGGGTTAGAGTGGGACTGTGCAACATCCTGAAACCTTTTCTAGCCTCTGGATTCTAATATTTCCTCAGGCATTGCTGCTGACTCCCAACTCATATCTACATCCATGAGGGCTAGAAATCTGATTTACACTCTTGCTTTAAAAACAACAACCAATTCTTCTCCATCAAGGCAGGGTCAACAGTGTTAGGAAGTGGCAGTCAAACACAGCCTTCTTTGACTCACCTTACAAGGCCCTCTCTTGCGGTCAGGAGTCATGGCACAGACCATGCCAGGCAAGGCAGGGTTGACAATGCGCCTATTCCGCAGATTGCTGTAAATGCAGTTACAGGTGTCGACGGTCAAGAGGTCCAGGGTTATCTCTTGGAGGGCCATGGGGTCTGGCAGATGGACTGGAAGACAAGAGGGAATGAAATTAAACCTGGGAAAACAGTGGCCCTAAACATGTACAACTTTTTGCATTTAAACATATGCATGCACACATTCCATATACACTCAAGCATGCATGCACAACCACGAGCATGCTTGCATGTACACACTCACTCATTCTCTTGTCTCATGCAACTAGTGCAGTGTTTCTCCACCCTGGCCACCTGAACACGGGTGGACTTCAACTCCCAGAAGTCCCCAGCCAGCATG